AGCACCAGAAAAGAACCCTAATCAGATACAGGCGCACCATCCACGCGTGATAAGGCATCAGCAGCATTGTTAGACTTCCTCGGTTTATACTGAATCTCAAAATCAAAGCCCAGTAACTTGACTAAGTATTTTTGCTGGTCTGGTGTCAGTACTGTCTGTGTGAGCAGTTCTTTTATTGATCTCTGATGTGTTTGGATAACAAAATGACGCCCCAAGAGGTATTGACGCCATTTTTGCACAGTAGAGGTAATGGCACACAACTCGCGCACGTAAGTGGAAGAGCTGCAAAGCTTGGGACAGAACTGTTTACTAAAGTAAGCAACTGGATGCCCATTCTGAGATAGCACCGCTCCCATACCTGTACCAGAGGCGTCAGTTTGTACAGTAAATAATAAATCAAATTTAGGTATAGCTAAAACAGGAGCAACAAGAAGTGCATTCTTGAGCCTGTCAAAGGCCTGTTGTGCGCTATCAGACCAGTGGAAATTGTCCTTCTTGAGGAGGTCCGTGAGGGGCTGTGCAATTGACGCATATCGGGCAACAAAGCGTCTATAAAACCCTGTGAGACAGAGGAAACCGCGTAGTGATTTGAGGGAGGTGGGGGTTGGCCAAGCACGTACTGATTCTAGCTTCTCCGGATCAGGTTGGACTCCCTCATTCGAAACTACGTGGCCCAAGTATTGGATGGTCTTGACACCAATAGAGCATTTGCTTCCTTTCAAACGAAAGGAGTTGGAGAGTAGCAGTTTGAAGGCAATTTCCAGATGAAGGACATGATCCTGTAAAGTGGAACTATAAACCAATATGTCATCGAAAAAGACGATTATAAAGCGACGGAGGTGAGGGCGGAACATGTCGTTCATGGTGGCTTGAAATGTGGATGGTGCATTACAGAGGCCGAAGGGCATGACTCTGAATTCGAAGTGGCCATTATGGGTTCGGAATGCAGTCTTCTCCAAATCGGAAGGGGCCATCAAGATCTCTAGAAGTCTGTTTAGTTGAAAAGGTTCAAACACCGGTCATGTTTTAACTTTTATACTTGGCAAATAATAATATGTGTATTATATATATATATATATATATATTCTATTTTATATTTTGAGAAAATCTACTATGTCGAGATTGTTTCCCGTGCTTCCTTCATCATTCTCTTTTTCAATTTTTTTTTTATTTTCCAAAAAATATCTACCAAGCCCTTTTTTATTAAATTTTTTTTTTTATGTAAAACATTACTCAAATTATTTCCTGATTCTGCTTCAAGTTCATTTTTTTTTCATTTTTGTTGTTCCTGCTTTTCGTTTTCTATTTTCCTTTTCTCAAAAACTTATGCTCTATCATTCCCAACAGTATTAAAAATATGTTGAGACAAAAGATAAACCTAAAACTTCATAAAATAACATGCACAACTATACTAATTAAGTTTCTAGTCATGCTCACTTTGCACGATTATACATTATGGTTGTTAAATTGATAAATAAAAAATCATCGCTAAAAATAAAATTTATGGACCATGATGCACGAAGAAGGCCGAATAGGAATGGACCAATATATAGGATGCAGCTGGAAATTTCAGATGGAGGATCAAGCGGTCACAATTCCTGCGAAAAATATTTTATTTATATTGCAAAAATTTCCTGCAGAAGGAAAATTTGCAGGAAAGTTTCCTGCAAATTTTAGTTCCGTAACAATTTCTTGCGATTTTGAAAATTGGAAGGTAACTTTTCTACGACTTTTCTTGCGGTTTTAAAATTTGCAGGAAAATTTGCTGCAAATTTTAGGTATGTAGAAAAGTACCTACACATTTTCTTGCAATTTTTTTCTCAGGAAACTTTACCTGCGGATTTTTTTGCAGCAAAATCCGCAGGAAATATTTAAAATATAATTTTTCTTGCCAAAATTTCCTGTAAAAATTTATTATTTTCATGCAAAAATTATTCGCAAGAAATTTCTTACGAATTTTTAAATCCGTGGGAAACGAGTTATCCACGAAGGTTTTACATGCAAATTTTAATTTGCAGGAAATTTTGCAGATAACTTGTTTCCTGCGAATTTTTGAGAAAAATTTGCATGAAAATCCTCAAATAATAAAGAAAATTCTAGTAGTGCTACACTTGTATACACGAGAAATTATCACTTGCATAATTGCATTTGGTGCAGCAACTTTATTGATTATGGAAGCACCGATTAGATTAAGTCCAGAGCAGTCTTAAGAATTAAAATGATTTCTAACTATTATTTGCTAGAAGTGCATGTTCATAAATCAATGTAAATTATATATAAATTTTCATAATATTTTCTCAAGTTTTTTTTTTCTAGATCATTAGTGCAAAAATTGGATTTAAAATCGGAATTTTAAGATCAGTTACAAGCTAACCGATCTTAAAAGTGACGCAGAGACAATTTTGTAAATAACATGAACACTTTTAAGATCAGTTAAAATTTAACCGATCTTAAAAGTACTTTTAAGATCGGTTACAAAAGAATCGATTTTAAAAGTGACACTTTTAAGATCGGTTATTTCAGAACCGATTTTGTATGTAGTATACAAAATCGGTTATTAAATAATGGATTTTAAAAGTATCGTCAGAAATCTTTTATATTTCCCTCCATTCTCATTCTCTTTAATTTTTTCCTCCACTCATTTTTTTAATCTATGACGCTTTCATTTTCTAAAGTCTCTAATAAGGTAAATTTCATTGTCGTTTTTGTTTTCATTTTCGTCTTCTCATGTTCTTCTTGTGTCTCTTTTTGTTTTCTCATGTTTTTCTCGTCTCTATTTTTGTTGTAGGTTCAGTTTGGGGAAATTTTGAACCTGGAACAGCCTATTCTGCAAGGAATACGGGCCGTTCTCCAAGGAGAACAGGCCATTTTGCAAGGAGTACGGGCCGTTCTGCAAGGAGTACAGGTCGTACTCCCTGGAGAACGGATCGTTCAGGTCCCGTACTAAAAATTAACTTTTGAGCCCTTTTAAAAAGACTGAAACGGCCCGTTCCGGTTTAGTTTTTTTCCACGGCCAGACTTTTAAGATCGGTTATAGAATAATCGATCTTAAAAGTTAACTTTTAAAATCGGTTGTTTAACCGATTTTAAAAGTCTAACTTTTAAAATCGACTCTTTCAAAATTGGTTACAAATCCGATTTTAAAAATTAAAAATAACCGATTTTAAAAATCTTTTTTCCACTAGTGGATGGAGGAGAAGTCTTTAGTTGAGGAATGAAAGTGTTTGATAGACTTGCTCATGGTCATGAGTCAAATATCCTAGGATTCTTCAAAAGTACAGGTTCTACCTTCCTTTTCTTTTGTAATTTTAACTTTCATTAATTTATTTATGTTCTATTTTGTATTATGTTTGGGTAAATTGCACTTTATTCTGTGTGATTTGGCTTAAAAACACTTTTTTGTTGTGGTATAATATTATCTAATAGATTCTAAACAACAAGTGAAAATTCCACAATTTTATAAATGTGATCCATATATAGTGCCAGATTTTGCAAATTTAAGCTGAGAATGAATCATATATATATATATAGGAGGGTTCAAATGATACCGGTGTAATTTTTACTAAGTGTTACACCACTCAATAACTTGATATTAAATTTGAATTTTGAAAATCCAATCGTTAGATTGAAAGTTCATATTTCTTAGATCATATATACAAAAATTTATATTAATCCAAGATGATTTTCAAAATTCAAAATTAATATCAAGTTATTGAATAGTGTAACACTTAGTAAAAGTTATACCGATATCGTTTGAACCCTCCTCATATATATATATATATATATATATATAACTAATATACTTGCTTAAAAGAAAATGAAACTTGGCCTTTTTTTTCTCAAACTGTACATAGCCTATCTTTGAAAAGGATTAAGAGAACCTATATTGTTGTGTGTACTTTAAAATGCTATGCGTTCTCTGAAGTTCACATACAGTATATATCATGAACATGTAGGAACACTTTATGTATGATCTCCACCTGAAACATTGTAGGAAAGTGTAATTATATTTCTTTTCCAAGCTAGATAATCCATACTTGTGATTGTGCCTCGTGGGTGAATGATTGGCGTAAAGTAATAAGTGTGGCGATCCATTGTATTTTCAATTTATCTATTATTCAAAGTAGTGGATTAAAATTAAGTATTGTATGAACAAGCTTCCCTTATATGTACTTTGATTTTACACATTTTTTTATATGATGATTTTACACGTCTTAAATTATTATAAATGTATTTTAATAAAATTATATTTATTAATTATCATTACATTTTCTTTTAAACTATAATAATAATATTATTTTATTATTGGGAGGATATCATATACTTAGGGGTTCAAAGTCGAAGAAAAAAATACAGTGGTTATTTGTTAAAGTATAAGTTATTTTATTCTAGTAATGATATTTTTCTAAGGTATTTATTTTTGAATTACTATTATTATTAAAATTAATTATTATATTCTTTTTGCAATCTCATAAACAAATAAGAAACTATCACTACAAGAAATTCATCATTTTGCGGGGGTTTTTTTTTCATACTGCGGCAGTTTTTGCCCCTCTTAAAATAATTAATGGCGTTTTAAAAAAACGCCGCAGTTACGTTCGCCACAAGCATTATAGGCAGTTTTTACCAACCTCCGCTACCTTTTTCATTTTGCGGCGTTTTATTTAGAGGGGGTTTTTGACCTCCTCTATTTGCAAAGTTTTTGCGGCATTTTAAAACCTCTTCAATTTGAATGATTTTTTTTTTTAACTTCGCCATATTATTTTTTTTAATCTAAATTACATTTAACCTGTATTAAAAAAAATAAGGAGGTACCCATAACATAATCAAAATTCCATTGGATAATACTAACTTTTTATAAGAAAAAAAAGGAATTAATGGGAGTACAAGCTATCGCTACAAAGAACCCATATAAGCAACAAGATGCCAAATGAAAATGATAATAACAACCTAAAAATAGTAGTAATCGAACATTTGATATCTAAGACAAGAAGACTACATTGAGTGCACAATCTAAAGCCAAATTTTTACTCCAACCATAATAATAATGGACAATGGATTGATAGTAATGAAAGTAACATAACTACAAAAGATCAACAACAATAAAAGCTAATTCAGAAGTCCAAGTTGACAACAAGTAGAGCACAACAATATATAACCAAAAGAAACTAAGTTTTTACAACACTTTATAAATTCAGAAACCATGATAACCTAAAGTAGTCCATAATATAAAAAACTAGATCTAAATATTAGACTGGCTATTCAAGTTGCTACCACCAGATGATCCTCTAGCATCTAACAGCGATTCAGGTTCACTTCCAACATCACTAGGCTGAAATAAGAAAAATAAATAGTATCAGTACAATTTAGAGATAAAGGAAGTGCAATTTGGTCCTAATATATACTTACATAATTCAAGTGCAATCTCCAAGATCAAACTAATAAATATCTTAAGAAATAAAATTGTATCAAACCATAACATTATACACTGTCAAATAATCATTCCAAATCCATAACATTAAATTCATAAAGTATATTCCTAACTTTTTAATTTATCTAAAATTACATTCTCTCAAACCATAACAAATATATATTAATAAATAAGCTAAATTTGATACGAGACAAGTTAAAAAACATGAAATAAAATAGTGATAGAGCGCTAATTGATGTAAGAAGAATATCACAAACCTAAAAAGAAAAAAAATCAAACTAAGATTAAAGTAAAAGAAGAGATAAGATTTGACTTACTTCAAAGTAATTTAAGAATCTCTACACTTTTACGTGGTGATGCAACCTTTAAATTTCAATTCTTGGAAGGATCTTAAATTCCTATCCGACAATTCAAATAAAATATTAGACCATTTTAAATCAAATACTTTAAAGGTTTGCACTTTCATAGAATAAAATATAATTGTAAGGAAAGCAGTTAATTAAAGTGAAAAGGAAACATTTCGTTAACTCATAACTTAATAAAATACATTGTATATACAAAATGAATTCCCTTATAAAAAGGCCTTTTATTTGCTTTATAGTTCAGATCATTTCATTTCAATATAACTTAATAATTTAACTAGAATGCATAAACGTAAACAACTAAATATAAGTATAGAACTTTGTGCACAAATAGTGAAAGGACCCGCCATTGCAATTCTCTTTTTCTTTTCCAGCTAACATTCTTCACTACACACCCCACCAATAATCAAGGATGTCATGACCAATTAATTATGTCCATTGTTAGCATCACATTACATATTAGTCCACGTGCCGAACATAAAACCCCACGTATGTATCATTTTTTTCCTATGCAATTCATTATGTTGCTTATATGAAATCTTAATTCAACATTTATAACTTTAGTAGATAATCTAATGTATATTTGAGTAATAATGCCAACATATCACACCGCTGATCCAAAATATATTTGGCCACTGCAATATGGTTTGATATCTTTGGGCTTTAGGCTAATGGGGCATGGCAATAAGAAAATTATAAGAATGGTATAATTCCTATCATTATTCACCTATAATTACACGAATAACCATGGAATTAAATTTAAACTCAAGTCAAAATAGAAGTATAACATTTTAGAATGACCAAAACTACAAAAGGGTTTTCCTACTTGCGTTATCTATGAAAAATGATTTTAGTATTTCAATACCACTATATTCCTACCAGTATGCCACCCATCAAAATAATGGAAAGAAAAAACCAATACTACACAACAAATTTAACATTACGAGACAGGGTCCTTATATTGCAAATGTAATTAAAGCAATCAATATGTTCCGTGAGCAAGGTGTGATGAAGGCCAATGATAATAAGGTAAAATTTGTCAAGCTTCAATATAGAAGGATTTTCAGAGCATGATACACCACCATCATGTCAGGAAAGAAAACCAAGAGTGCTAAAAAAGATTTTAAAGTACAATTAACCATGAAAAAACACGAATAAAGATTGGCTTTGTTAGCTTGTATAACAACCGAACACCCTTTTATAATAGTGATATGAAACATATTCAATTCATAGGTTTACAAATACTTATTCAAATGAATATCAATCTTCAATCTACAGATAGTGTTGGTTGTTTACCTTTATACTAAGATCAGTATGGCGTGAATAGGAGATGTGAAGCTTGCAAAAACCTCCATCATATATGCAGTGTCCTTCCAAGGCTTCCTAGGCCACAGCAGCTGTCTAAGTATCTGTGAATCATAGTATGTCACTTTCTCAAGCTTATACTAACAAGGTAAAATAAAACAAGGCAACAAGGCAAGAAGTCAATGAAGATCAAAGTTCTTGACACTTCCATGCCGAGTCAACAGGACTAAATTGCATATATAGCACATCTGAATTATCATTGTTGAACCTATCAAAGATAAGTATGGGCCCTGTTGAGAAAGATTTCCAGCAAGCAACAGGTCCATAAACCTTGAGTAAACAAGAAGAAAGTGCAGCTAGAAGTATCTTAAATATATCTTGACACTTGCCCTTTACCTCAACAAATTGCAGATTGTAAGTGGTTGCTTTTTGTAGAATCAGGCAACAACTTACAGGGACACATTTGAAAACTTTCCCCAAATGTAATGTTCAAAATTTAATAAACAAAAAATAAATGACAGGCACACTCGTAAATTATCAACATCACAACCGATATAAAATGAATAATTTTGGTTGTCAAAATCATGATGTTACATAAAATCAGGAGATAGATGAACTGTAGATCATGTGATTGTATTACAGATAATAAGATTTTAGAAGAAAGATTAATGAATTAAGTTAGTATAACATGACAATACAACTAATACATACATTCATATATATATATATATATATATATATATAATAACATCACTAAAATTCAAGGAAGAATTTAGATATTTATTTGATAGTTATTTTATAATATTTCACTTTATTTTATATATTTCACACCAGAACTAAAAAGGAAAAAGAGAGAGAGCAGACATGAAAATCAGTAAGATATATATCTTGCACTTCAGATGAGGGCCCACTAAAGAAAAATTCATGGATTTCGGTAACAAAAAGAGATTCCTCAGTTCAGCTGACCCTAGTTGATGTTCAATAGACGGACCATATAGTGGAAAGACACTCCAACGCACCATCACAGACAAAAGAACAGAGATGTCCCAATACAAACTCTCTAACACAGACAACAGAGATATATGCTCAAGATGAGAGCTGAGAACAAATTCAAGAGATGAGTTGGAACAAGATTGTAAAGTTAGAAGAAATGGTTTTGAATGGTATCATGTTAGAGAAAGGGCAGAGAAGAGGAAAAAAATGAGTCTTTCTACTTTCAGGCCACACAATCCAATATGTATGTAAGCAAAGGAAGAGGAAACAACATCAACATTAAATCATACTTGAAACGTCGAAAGCGAGGGCGAGTGGTGCATGTGGCTAAGCGGAGAGGTGCGCAGTGGAGTGGTGTGCACGACTGAGCGAAGTTCAGCAGAGCGGTGCGCGCAGCTAAGCGGAGCAGTTCGCGCGGCTGAGCAAAGCGGTGCGCGCGGCTGATCGGAGTAGTGCGTGTGGCTGAGTAGAGCTATGCGTGTGGATGAGAGGAGCGGAGTGAGAATTTTCAGGGATTGGGTGAAAAATTGGAGGGATAGGGTGAAAAAAAAACTGTGCGAGAAAAGTTATTGAGGGAAAATGATAAAAAAAATTTCAGGAAAAAAGGTATGTAAATTTGGGAGGGCATAAACCCCCTCAAAAAATGATAAAAACCACCACTATTTTCACAATTTTAGGCGTTTCCCAAAAACGTCGCAATTCATGTTAATTTGAGGGGGTTTTGAGAACCTCCGTAAAATAACCTCCACTAAATAACATTTTTTTTGTAGTGTATGAGTACAGATACTATGTAATGAAGGCAATGCATATTATTGTCAATTCACAAATAGAGTCTGGGTGGATTGAAGTAAGTTTTACAATTTTGAAAGTTTTTATTTTAAATTTTTATTTTGTCATGTTTTATGAATACTTCTAATTGTTCTAAATTTTTCTTAACAAATATTTATAGATCGATCACCATTTTCACCAAAAGATATAAATATCATTAGGGAACAATGTGCTACATTTTTCATTGAAACACTAACTAGTTAGGACTTATACTTTATAAAATATTTATTATGTACTTATATATTGTGTATACATTTATGTATTGGATATGTTTCAAAAAAATTCTCTTTTATTTTGTACGTATTGCAAACCATTAAAATATATCAACTGCTTGGTATTAACTTATAGGTTTTGTTTAAGAATCTTCTCAAAACAAGCTGATCATGTTAAAAAAAATTCACAACTTTTAAAATCGGTCATGGTAATAGTCAACCTTAAAAATCTAATTTTTAAGATTTTCTATTAGCATGACTGATCTTAAAAGTCCAACTTTTAAAAGTTCAACTTTTAAGATTGGTTATTGTCATGACCGATCTTAAAATAGTTTTTAAGATCGACTATTGAGTTGACTGATCTTAAAAATCCAGATTTTAAGATAGACTATTAACGTGACCGATAACTTTTAAGATCAGCTAATGACCGAACTTAAAAAGTTCAACTTCTAAAATCGGTTCTTTTAAGATCGATTAAGGAACCGATCTTAAAAGTCAAAAACGACAAATCTTAAAAGTATTTTTTTCACTAGTACCCAACTTGACCCATGTTGACCATCGAGCGCCTAATTAAAAATATACATTTTAAAAAATTAAATATATTTTTTACAATGGAAAAATAACAAAAATTATATTATATATGATTAATTGATACTATATACTATCATGAAACACATAATAGTTTTATATGTATACAATTTTTCACAAACATTAGATTTGTATTTATCCACCCCATCAACTATACCAACCTTTTCATAATAATTTCATACTTCATAGGTATTAGACTTAGTTTTCTTATCCTTTTAAGTATCTTCGTCTTAGTCATTAATAATCCTACTCTTGCTTTAATTATCAATAGTAGTAACAATATGTTCTCTCATTGTGTTAAGTGTACTTTCTATTGTATATAAATTATCCTCCATATCAAAAGTGTTATCAACATTCATGACTACAATATTCAAAATTAAATAAATTTACTCATTCAGTTCAAGGTTCCAACAATGGGTTATATAAAAGCACAAAAAGTCAACATAATTCTTAGTTCAGTTCACAAGCAACAAACACAATAAATAAAGCAAAACCAAGCAATAAAGGAACAACAAGCCAAAAATTCAGTTCATAATTCTCAGTCCACACAACACGTCTTAAAAAAATAAAATAACATACTTGGTAATCGGTAAGAGTTGGAACTAGTGGGTGATATTCACAGTTGATATGCTATCAAATTAAACTAGTTTCCATTTCAATTTTGTAATATAGGAAACCCTAGGTCAGAATCTAGAGACAAATCATTGAACATGAATTTTACAATGCGAATTAGCAAGGAGAATTTTAACAAACAGTTTGTATGCAATGCTAAAATGTATGAAAATTTTGGAAAAATTTTGAATTTCGATTGGAGAAATACCAATTCAAGAAGATAATCATTGAGGTTTTAAAGAATAATTTGAATTCCACCATTTAAAAATTAAATTGAATACAATCGCATTCTATGAAATTTCACCGAAAATGTAAATGCAATCGCAATGTGCAACTCTCTACGAAATTCAATCCGAATTGAATCCAATATGTTGTTTTAAGATGTTCACATTCAAAAAGAGAAAATGAAATTAAAATTCAAATAGAAGAAATGTTACCACAAATATTGAATCCTTGAATCGATAGAATGAATTTAGCTAAACATCTTCATCAAGATGCTACCATAATTCGTGTAGAGGTGAACACATAATAAAATTCAGACAGAGAAAAAGAAATATGAGAGGCAGAATTTAGGGGGCGGGGGAGAGAGAAATAATTTTGGGAGGTTTCTAAGAGAAGTAACTCAATTTCTAAAAGATGAAGTATATCCTCTTAAGTGTATATGTGTTACACTTATTTATACTCTACACTAATGGGCCTAATTAGAGTAATTAAAGGCTCAACCCATTAAATCAAATAATTACATCACGAAGCAAATCCTAACATTACATTCTAAAAATAAAAAGAAAATACTATGTAGGGCCACAACTTTTCAATGTAATTTGGGTCACTTAACCTCCGAATTGGCCATTTCTCCCAACAGAGAAATTGTAAAACTCCCTTTTATCTTTCCAAGGACATCAAGAACGTCAAAATCCAATATTAGAAACTTCAAATATGGCTTGCACAAGAATAGAGTGTAAATGTGGGTCAAATTACAAAAAATTATAAGAATTTACAATCATCACCAACTAAAGCCACTAATACAAATCACATCTAATATATCAATTATTTACACTATTAAATACCAAATCATCTCAAATGAATGTATTGAAGTATGTGTTCCAAATGAACTGTCAAAGGGTAGTACCAACAACAAACAATAAAGTAATAGATGATGAGTCGTCAAGACATCAAGTGTGCAATGGGAGCAATGAAACTCTCACAACGTGTGACTAACCTTAACTTTAAGCTTGTAAAAATTTGTAAACAAACACAAAAGAGTGAAAAACTATTACTATTATTATATTATATTATTTTATAATATGTTACATATTTATAGATTGATGATAGTTTAGATTATTCTAGTTATTATTTTAACAGGCTAGCTCGACTTTGACTTATTTGGCTTATCAATCTTAACGAATGAAGCCAAAATGACTTAATTTTATTTAGGTCATCCTTTTTAAGGTCCACTTTGACTAAATAGTATTATTCTCTAAGTTAGAAAACATAATTGTAATGATTCTACTTTTTAAAGTTAAAAAACATTTAATAAAAATTAAAGCTGAGTTAGATAAATACAAGGAAAAGTCCAAAATTTTAACGAAAGTTACTAAACATTTTACATGAGCATTCGTGGCATGTATATCTTCTATTTGTACATTTATTATATAACCCAAATTAGCCTTTCATGCATGCATTACTTTTATACTAAAATGAAAGCTTGCATAAATCATATGATCGAGGCATGGATTATATTCATGAATCATGACATATGCATTACTTTAATACGGTTCTTCAAAATGTATGTGTGGAGAGGTCAAAGCCATACCCCACTTGTGCAGTGGGGCTCAAGAAGAACCAGAAACCTATACCCCCCACATATACCCCATTTTTGCAACAAAAAAAAAAAAAAGTAAAAAGTAAAAAGTAAAAAAAAACAAACAAAAGTAGTACAAAATAGATAATACGGTTCTTCTAAATGTATGTATGGAAAGGTCAAAGCCATACCCCACTTGTGCAGTGAAGCTGAAGAATAACCAGAACCCCATACCCCTACATATACCCCATTTGTGAAAAAAAATAAACAAGTAAAAAATAAACAAAATAGAAACACAACAGTACAAGGAAATCTAAAACGAAACAAAATGAATTAAAAACATAGAACCCTAAAAGATACAACCATCTCATAAGCAATAAAAAAAACAAAAGAAAAAATATTACCTTTACGCTTTTCTTTAGTGATTGATGACTTCACACTAGAGTCATTGTGCAATATTCTCTCCAATATATGCCAACAACACCACAGCGACAACAAAATATACATTGGTCTTCTATTAAAACAATACCTATCTTTGGGATCACTATAACACTGACCAACACTACAATAAAATAGACTTTTAGTGGCATTTAATATGATTTTTAGTGGTAATAACAAAATTTTTTACCGGCATTTTCACATTAGCCATTGTATGCAGTGTCGCTAAAACATTTAGCGGCAATTATTTAAAATGCTGGTAAAAATCCTTAATGGTCGAAAAAAGTGTATATCTTTTTGTGATATTTTTTACTTTCTAGTCGATGTGGGACTTGTAAGATGAGTACAAATAAATAATTACTTTATCTCTAGTTGATGTGGGACTTGTAAGATGAGAGTTGTCTTTCTATTATATATTCTTTTTAATTACCTTATTTCTAGTTGATATAGGACTTTAAGATAAAGATTGTCTTCATATATATATATATATATATATATATATTATTTTCTGATCAATAGTCGAACCCCTTAAGTTTAAGGATTATTGAGCTTGACAATAGTGAGTAATCTCATACTAATTTAGAATAATAAGTTATAGGTCTAACTCAATCCTACATAACAAACTTGTAAGGTGAAAGTTATTATTCATTTATATACTTTTTAGTTATCTTATTTCTAGTCGATGTGGGACTAAAATTTTTCTTAATAAATAATTGTCGCTAATAGTAAATTTTGGTGTGATATAAATATATTTTTGGTGACCATTATATATTAGTCACTAATAATTTTATTAAATAATAAAACAAAGGCAATTAATTTATTGCCGGTAAATAATTGTCGGTAAAAATGAATTTTGTTGTAGTGCAAGAATCAGATGGTTAGGATTTCTTTTTAGAGGACTTCTTTCAATATTTCATCAGTGCTAGAGTCTGTCAAAATTTTGCTTCTGACCACTAAGGCACAATTCTACGATATGAGCTTTTAGCATTTTGGGATATTTGGCACAATTGGGACAATTAGTTGATCATGGAGTCCAAGTTTGCAAGGATTAAATGTGTATATGTGTGAAGTTTAAGTTAGTAAGTGTGATGATGTGGATTATGCTGATTAGGATAATTGTTAAATTGGGTTAACAAAGTTAGAACAATTTTGATACATTTTATTTTTAAAAATAAAGGACTAAAAGTTAACATTTTAAAATTGGAGGATAAAAAATAAACATTTATATATTTTGGAAGATGAAAAAGATGTTTAACCCTAAAATAAATGTTCTTTTCTTTCTGCATTTTGTTTAAAAATGTTTGAAGACCAATAAATCATTTGAGAGAATCAATTTTCTTTTAAATCATGTACAAGCATATTATTACTATTATAAATATAAATATAAAGTTAATTAAGTTCATTCAATCCAAAAATATTCAACCATTAGCAAATAACAATAGCCAATAAAATGGAAAGGTTTACAAATCACTTACATAATTTAACATAAATTCGTATAAGCAAAGCAAAGCACAGATCGAGAGAACTTAATTTCAATATGGCAAAAATAAACTTGGAACGTAAGCAGCGCAGGATCGTAATTTGACATCTTCTTCAAGGCGTATTCCATTATCTCTTTTATTATAGACCACCAAATTGTGATCTACACAGTTTTTTAGCAACATGACATCCTCATCTTCAGACATGCACAAAGGCATGCACAAAGTTTCTTTATGATAAGGTCCATAAATTTGAAGGTGTTCATAATTTATATTCAGCAACTGAGTCCAAGATTTATCAACTCCAAATTCCCTCATTAGCCAAACAACAAAATGGGTTTTCATGTAATCATGATAAAAACACAAACAATCCTTAAGAACCCCAAGATTAGGCTCAGAATCAATAGGAATGGGCATCGGCATATATTTGTATGTCTCATTCTTCATATCAAAAGAAAAAATTTTTATCTGATTCATAGTATCATCATCAGTTTTCCTGTGATGATGGGAACTCCACGGAGGAACAGTTACCAACCAGTTAATAGTGCCACTCACAAACTCTCCGATAGGTTCATCTCCCCCTATGGGACAATCATATTCAAAGAAACTAAACATCAGTTTCCAACAATTGTCACCCACGGAAAAAACTGTCACCTCTGTTTCTTGATAATTACAAGCCAAAATGAGTAACACCATGTCGAAAGAGTCCCTTCGATCATCATACCCAAATCCAAACCTTCGATAACGCAAATCGAAACAATCGAAGTTTTCATAAATTTGGTAGCGTGTCGTTTCTTCAGACATGAGCCTAGTGGCTGGGTTCCAAAATCGGGCCCAAAATTCATGAAATTTACGATATTTATAATTCAAAGTGAGCATACAAACCAACCCTTTGCAAACCATTAAGACTGAATGAGAAGATTCTACTAACTGACAACTATGATGAATAACAGATGATGGGTCCTCAAACAAGTCAGGTAAAGAGCATGATGACACAAAAGTATTGGCATCTATTAAGACGCGAGTGTTTTTGGGAGATCTTTGAAAGTGCAGTTTAATAAATGTAGGAGTAAAAATGAGGGAATTCCAAGGCTTAGAAACACACCTAAATCGCATTAGTGCTTTTACCGGAATCCATGACAAAATTTCCGCTACAACTTCCTCAGAAAATACAAGAGTAGTAGACATTTGATTTTAGTGAAGACACAAATTTGATTCTCCAAGGAGACTTATAAGAGCCTATACGAATTGGCCCGATTGCTATGTGCTTCACATTCTCTCCTTTGAAAACTAGAGGTTAAGAAATGTTAGACTTGGTCATGCAAAATAAAAACTCATGGAACTGCATATTTCTTTCTTGAAGAAAAATAGGAATCTCAACATAATTAAAGGAATCTACAAAAATAGAAAAACGTGACCACGGGTGTACCTTTCATCGCAGTTATAGCAGAGGTTCTTGTCCTGACGGGCTTGCATTTCTGCTTCGGTCAATCGTTTGATGGGGAGTTTGGTGCTTGGTGTGGGTAGGAGAGGAGTCTTTCACGTTTTATCCCCAGGTTGGCAGAGAAAGCAGGGCCCATCTTCACCTTGATGTAGAAGCCGAAAAACTTCGTGTAGACGGACCAGTGCGAAAAGGCTTTCAAGAGCTTCAAAGTCTTCCTCACGACTCCACTAGTCCTCTAGAGGCCGGATCACCACGCCGACCTCCTCCTCTTCCTGGCCGTGGCAGAAGGCGCAATCAGCGCAGTCGTAGTACATGAGCACCAGAAGGTGCAAACGCCGATCTACTTCATCAACCGAGTCCTTCAAGACACGGAAAAATGGTATCAGATGATTGAGAAGCTCGCACTAGCACTTGTCACCGCAGCTCGGTGCCTCCGACCTTATTTTCAAAGCCATCAGGTGGTCGTCAAAACAGACTACCCGATCAAGCAAATCCTGAGAAAGTTGGAGCTTGCCGGACGGATGATAGCGTGGTCGGTAGAGTTGTCCGAGTTCGGCATCAAATATGAAAGTCGCGTCCCCCTGAAAGCTCAATGCCTGGCAGATTTTGTGGTCAAACTAACTCCAACCTCTGCCGAACAACCACAGGTATGGACTTTCCATGTTGATGGGTCCTCCAATTTTAAGGGTGGCGGTGCAGGTATTATCTTGGAAGGGCAAAATGAGGTCGTCTTAGAGCAATCTCTCAAGTTTGGCTTCAAAGTGACCAAAAACCAGGCAGAATATGAAGCGCTTCTCCCAGGGCTAAGGTTGGCTCACGACCTTGGAGCGTGGAGAGTGAGTTGCAACAGATCTCTTCCTTCGAAGAATTCACAATACATCATGTACCCCGAGAGCAAAATGCCAGAGCCGACCTCTTATCGAAGCTCGCTAGTACCAAAGGCTTTGGACAACATCGAACCATCATCTAGGAGACCTTGAATTCACCCAGCTTGGACGACAAGTTCGTCAACACTAGTAACAACGAAGACCAAGGATGGATGACAGGTATTTGGAACTACCTAAAGGAGGGAATTTTACCCGAAGATAAAGATGAAGCTCGGAAGATGAGGGTAAGGTCAGCTAAGTTCATCATTGTCGGAGACGAACTATTCAAGCGCGACATCTCCAACCCATCGCTCAAATGCTTGAGAGAGCTTCAAGCCACTTATGTCATCGAGGAAATCCATCGAGGGATATGTGGTATGCACTCCGGAGCATGCTCGATGGCGACCAGGGTACTCCGAGCTGGATACTACTGGCCCACGTTGAAGTCAGATTGCCAAGCCTACGTATAGAAATGCAAGGAATGCCAGCAGTTTGGCAATGCACATCGACAATCGCCCAAAGCCATCCACCAGATGATGGATACTTTTAAAAATTATTAAATAAATTTAATTTTTTTAAAAATATTATGTCAAAATTTAAATAAATAATTTTTTAAAAAATAATAAATAAATTGTGTTGTTACATATTGTAACGACTTTATTTATTTATTTTTTATACTAAAAATTTATATGTTATGCAAAAATAATTAAATACTTTTTTTTAAAAATGTTATATACTAAAATTTAAAATAAATTTTTTATACAAAAAATAATTAATTGGTGTCGTTATAAACTATTGCGACTTCATTAATTTATTTTTAAAAAAATTTCTAGCCGAACAAAAAGTCGTTGTGTGTCGTTAGTGGCTGTAACGACTTTAGTTAAAGCGCTACCGTTTGTGATTTATAATATGGTTTTCATGGCTTCTAAAAAAAATACACGTGGCACTAGGGTCGCTATGACCCATAATGACACTGTAATAAATTGCCAGGGTGGGGGGCGGTGTTTATCGTCATGGAGTTTGGCCAGTGCTATGGCGGTGGGCAAATCTGGTGGTTGGAGGGCTGTCACCTCACGATGAAGATGAGGTTTGAGGCTGGAAAGGAAAGTATGTATTGACGCAGCCTAAATATGAACATTAGGCCTTATATGCCTATTAAGCTATAGGTCCAGTGACTATATACGGCCTTATAGCCTTGTATATATTTCCTACATACGAGTTTTAATTATTTTGTATGTTCTGTACAATGATTTTGTTTGCAGATATACTGGATGGAATTGAAGGGGAACGGAGTTCCATTTGAGGTGATGATTCTTTTAGCATTTTTTTATGATTGGATTCCAAGCATCTGTTGTATGATTTAATTCTTGCCTGTGGCAGTACAGTATTTTGTAATACTACAGAAAGAAACTTGGAGTGGCCCAAATTTTTTTGGGCTGGATTATCATGTATATCTTATCTTATTAAGTAAATTCAACTATTTATAGTAGACGAGTTAGTCTTTATCTGGCAACTAAAATCAGGCCATTTGTTTGTCTATGGTATATTTTTTGTGGTTATATGAATTAGAATTGCTTCAACGTTTATAGGCTGGTTATGATGAATATTTTCTTTATCAATTCGTTCTACAAGTTTAAGTGCTTCTAAATGGGAATTTGGATTCAGCGCAATAGAAAATGCACGTCTGGTTCAGATTGAATCACATCTTGTTTACAAAACATGCACGGTTCATCCAACTGCGCCATTTTTTACTGCACGGTTCTCATATGACTTGGTCACCTGAGCATAGCATAGCATCTATTATTTCTTACAAAGGCCCATTATGAGGAATGTGTCGAAGAACAAATGCGTGTGTATCACTTGCTCAGCTTGCCTGTCAATTTATTATAAGCACCGCTATTAAAAGCACAAACTTTAATGCATTTAACGGTTGAATTGAATTGACTCCTTGCACCTGGAATTGATTCTATGGTGCGAAGTATTCCATTAAAATTGATTTTGTCTCTAATTAACTGTGATTGTAATTGATAAAGATATGTAGCATGTGTGGTTGAGTGTTCAAGTGGCCAAAACTTGAGTATTGGATATAAAAATTTGAGTCTAACAAAAGAAGCTTTTGCATTAAATGGAAAAATGATGTAATTTTGGAATAATCGAATGCTGGTTTAAAATGCATATAAATGTTTCTATGGATAATTGTGATAATATGCACATGATATTAGGTTGTCTTCATTATAATTCCGATGAAAAAAAAAACCTCAAAAGAAACAAAATAAGATGAATATTGATTATATGGAAATGTTGAGGTCCTGTTGTAACTTAGTCCTAGGCCCATGTGTGAAAGCCCAACATTTTTCTTCTGTGCTTAAAACCAAATGGCAAAGCATTTTCAGCATCTCATAAAGCAAAGGCTTCTCGGTTCACTCAAATCAAATCCCTTCCAATATCTGAGTTATGCAATTCCAAAATCACAACTACACTACACCAAGAAATAAGAATGATGACCGATTAATTTTGTGATGAAACGAAATAACTAGAACTAGTTTATTCGATTCAAAAGTTTTCCTGAAAATCTCATAAACCTGTGTATTTTTATAACTGATAAAAAAAACTATTTTATTTTAAAAATTTAACGTAATTGCATTCTAGTCAGATATTCAAATTCTTGATCTGATTAAGTTTAGAACAACTATTTTTGTTTTTTGTCTGAAACAAGATAGAACGACTCTAGTTAGCTAATTTATGTATTTAGTGATATGTTATCTTTTTGTGTATACAAAACTTAGAAACATATAATTATTTTTTTTTGCCAATAATGGTTAATTATACTGTAAACAGTAGTTACGTTTTTTTTAAAAAAATAATTAATAGGTTTAGTTAAAATATGATTATTTATTAGCTTTTAATTTGAGCATGACTAATTAAATAGGTAATTAATTATGTGATGACTGAGTGTAACCTACAAAGATATTCAATGATGTTAACAAAACGAATTTATTAATAATTAAGGGATAGGATCACAAAATCGATTTCAATGGAATTCCTTGAAGATTTTAGTTTCGTTGACCTCTTGCTTCATGCTTTTGTTTGGAATAGCAGACAGAAGAACGGAATGAATTGTAACTCGTTTAGAATAACAGAAAGAGAGGAGAACGGAATGAAATGGGAAGAAAAAAATGAAATCTTCTATCATTTGACAATTTTCTAGGAAAGAAATAAACTAAAAAAAAAATCAAATTATCTTTATTTTTAATCACCTTTTTTATTAAGATATTTATTTCTACATTTGATACAATTAAACAAAAGAAAATAAAAACTTTTACTTTTCTTTTATTTTTTTTTTCTCCTACCAAAAAACCCAATAGAAAATCATCTCCCTTTAGATTCTTTTTTCTCTCTTTCTCTTTATTTTATTTTCTTTTCTTTCTAAATCAAACAAACCGGGGAAATGAAATTCTCTCTTTCTCATAATTGCAATACTTTTATTCTCAAGTGCCAGGACCATAACCTTCAAGGAGAATCATATCAAGATTTACGCTTCTCAACCCTTTACCAAGCTCGGATAACAGTTACATTATTTTAAATTTTTAAAAAATACTTACTTAAAGTTATTTTTATTGTTATTTTCTCATTTTCTGAGTATATATTTTTTTAATAAAAAGACAATGCTTTTTCTTATCTGAAAAATAAATAAATCATGTTAAAAGGGTGGAAAAAAGAATAAGAATCGATCGAAGTTTCACACGTGTATATGCTTTTGCAATTGAGATTAATTACGGATACCTAACACATAATCTTATATTAATAATATAAAATACTTCTATTTATATTTCTAAACATTAGCCACTATATGTTTATTTATTTATTAGTAATTAATTAGTAATAGGACATCACAAGCCATATAGAAGGAATTTCGAGACATCAATATTGCTCTAGTGGCTGCTTAGAGTCAACTAATGATAGTAATTGCATGGTAGCGTATGTGTTACGTTTGGATACTTTGCAACTATTTTGTTGCCAATTGTCACAAGTTGTGATGATGTGGTTCCAAAATTCCCTCTCGTTAGTTCATACATATGGGAATTTTTTTCTCAAATAATATTTTTTTTTAAAAAAATTACCAAAAAAACATCTATTACACATTATTTATTCAAATAGACTTTTTTACTGTTCACACTCAGAATTCGATTCTTTCGAAGAGATGGATCTTAGAATAGTGAATTTAAACCTAATTCAACCCTATAAAATCGGCTTGTAAGGTGAGGGTTATTTTCCACTTATATACTATTCAATTGCCTAATCTCTAGTCGATGTGAGACTTGAATTTTTCCCAATAATCGATCATCAACAATTTTATTTTTTTAAAATATCTCACATACGAAAATAAAATAAGTAAATAATAATAATAATTTCTTTTGAAAAATTATACAAAGACACTAAAAAATCTTAATTAAATGTTAAAAGATGCTCATGAAAAATAGAAGAAAAAATGAGCTTTTGAAGAAATAATTTTTTTAACTTCAAATAGAGTTTTTCTTCACAACAATTACTTTTTTTTATAATGTACGTCATTTTGTTTATATTTAAAAAATTTCTTTTATGCTCTAACTTTTCTTTTAAATATTTTTTATTAAATTAATTTGTTATTGAGTTTAATTAGATCTGTTGGGTTTAAAAAGATTTAATTAAATTTTATGATTTTAAATTTTACAACTAAATCCAAATTTATACTTTTGTTACAATACTCACCCATTCCTTTTTACCTGTCGATTTTGTTTAGTAAAAAATTATTTTTATTTTTAAATTTCCTTTTTATTGTTGGTGTTTTAGTAAAATAAAATATTTATATTAGAATTTATTTTTTGTTTTCGATAAATAATAATTAATGAGTTATGATACCTGTGAGAATTTGATGAACTCACTTCTTCTATGTCACTCCTCACAACACCTAGACTACCTTATAATTCCAATATTTTATATTCATATGTATACACAAATATTAATTCACTCAAAAATTTCAAAGTATGATTGACCATAAGATGACACTAACTATTGAAAATCAACAGTAAATATCAATTTTAACAGTTGTTATGTGTGATTTTGAAAGGGACACAGAATTGTCGTTGAAACAATTTTTTCTTTTCAAAATTAATCTTTTTCTTTTACAATAAAAAAAATTATATAACAAGGTTTGGATTTAAAACATTGTGATAGCTAGTACTCTAATTTTATACTATATATATTAAGCCGACCCAATAACTGTTTGCAAAACTAATCTTAAGCTTCAGTATTTTCAATTTTGGTAATTGCCCCAATGTTAGTGTGAAAATTTTGAGTAATTAAAATATAATGATGCTAACATAATTAAAAGGTCGACGCCAAATTAGATACCTAGAGTTAGTCAAGTCGGTCAAGCCGATGAAAGTTTTATAATTCTTTTTCAAATTAATTTTTATTATTTATTCTATATTTTACAAAACCTAGATATTAAAATAGAATTATAAAAACATAAAAGAGACATAATATAAATTATACTATAAAAATCATCATATTAAACTACCCTCATATTTGTAATATACTATTAATCAAAATAAACGAGAAAAAAATATAATAAAACAATAGAACAAAAATATTTCAATTAAGTCTCATTATCATTTACTAGTACAAAATATAGAATCTACGTCAGCATTTTCTCGTCGGACATAAAAATATCCAACATAAAAAAGATGCGGTGACAATTTTGAAAATAAAATATACTTTTTTACGTTGAACTACACTGGGGCCAACGTAAATTTCAAAATTTAGGTCTAATGTAGTTGATATCCAACGTAGATTTTGAAATTTACGTCGGCCTCAATGTAGTCCGGCGTAAAAAAGCTTTCTATTTCCCCTCCAGCACCTTCGTCTTCTTCGCGCGTGCAAGGTTTACACAATAGAGGAAGCTTTTTATTCATGGTGCGATTTTCGGCGAGGGTTTGTCGACTATGTGTGGGCGTTTCCGGTCACTGTGCTTTCCGGCAAACGGCTTCTCAACATCTGTGGGTGATTCCAGATCTTTCTGACCGATTGAATTGAGCATTTTCTGGGTTTTGGACGATTTGAGGTTAGTATATATGTGAATTGAGTTTAGGGTTTCTTCCTTCCATTGTGTATGAATTGTACTGGGCCGAGAGAGTTTAAGTTTAAGAATTGTTTTGTTGTTGCTCCCATTGAAGAGCTTGCATGAACTTGTTTAATAAGAACTCTCTACCATTGTTCTGTTGGATTTCTCGTTGGTGAGTTGTGCTTTTTACATTTTCTCTGGACTCTCTGATTTATACCTTGTATTTTTAATTGGTGTATTGCACTGGTATATACCTTGTATTTTTAATTGGTGTCTCGCACAATTTCATAGTTTTCTTGATCTATGAAATTTGATTTTGTGTACAAACAAAATGTTGAGCACTCTATTGCATTGGATTCTATGTATAAACGAATGATGAATGTTGTTTCTGTTGGTGTTGCTGGCATTATTATCATTTGTGAATTTCAATTAGGCTAAGGAAGTTGATGAAACCTCTAACCAGACCCTTGTTAATGTTCTAAGAGTAAGTTGGCGTAATATTTTTAAAAATACTTGTAGAAAAGAAAAATATGAAGAAGAAATCCAAAAATTAAAATTAATTTATAATGTATAAATTAATATTAGTTTATGTAAAAATTTATTTAATTTTATTTTAATTACTTCATTTATTTATAAATATTTATGGAGAAATTTATTTAAACAAATATAAAGGATAAGCTCACTAGTTGATCATCTTTGTGGCAAATTTACCTTCAACTTATCAATCTAATTCAGATTGTGACGTTACTCTCTTTGTTAATTATTGTGATAGTTATCTTCAATTATTGATAATATATATTCTTAATTGTTTTATATGTTAAAAATACTTATGATTTTTTTTAATTATTTTTTATGTATAGTGATAATAGAGGTGAGAAGTGGAGATTTTCTTGCTAGCTTTGTTGTGATCTTTGTATTTACAGTTACTTATATATCCTAGGTTTTCTTTTAATTTTTACAATTAAATATTTCTTAAGTAATTCAATTCAATTGCTTTTTAATTTACCTATTTAGTATCATAATTATATATAATAACTATAAATGCAAGTGTATGTGAATCAATAACTTGGACTATTGTCCTTTTTATTACTATATCAATTGATATATTTGTGAAATGTATATATTATTAGGTCTCTCCTCTCAACTATATTTTTTTCCATCATTTAAATATGAAATCTTATATAAAAGGACCGAGTCTAGTGTACCTTTCAAACCAACAACCTATTATTGATTATTAAATGCACATTATTTCGTGGTTGAGATAAAAGACTTAGCTAAAGATGAAACTAGATTCCTTAATGAAAATTATGTATGAGTAAAGTTAATAGATTCGACTTAAGTTTGAATCTATTGACTTTACTTAACTAATTCTTGTCAAAAAAAATTGATTCCATTCGTAGTTAATTCTTTTCTTCTAATCATATATTTTATTTATTTATAAAATTTGAATTCAATTACACTTTATCATTAAAGTCTTAGAATAGTGGATTTAAGTCTAACTCAACCCTACAAAATCAGTTTGTAAGGTGATGTGGGACTTGAGTTTTTCTCAATACACTCCCTTACGTCCAACACTATTAGGCTTGGTACGTGGATAAATGGCTAGTGGGCCTTTTTTAATAATCTAGGATTGACAGGACTTGAATTTTTCTCAATACACCCCCATGCCCATGGTGCATGTATTAATGGTGGGTAACCCATTTAAAGTGGATCTAAATGGCTCTAATACCATCTTAGAATAGTAGATTTAAGCTTAACTCAACCCTACAAAATTAGCTTGTAAGGCGATGGTTGTTTTTCACTTATATACTATTGAATTGTCTAATTTCTAGTCAATGTGAGACGAATTTTTCCCAATACACCCCATCTCGTCCAGAAATATTGGGCTTGGTACGTAGATAAATGGTGAGTGGGCCTTTTTAATGATCTAGGATTGGCGGAACTTGAGTTTTTCTCAATACATCCCTTCATGCCTATAGTGTATGTATCAATGGTGGGTGACCCATTTCTTTTTAAGAATATAGGATAGCTCTAATATCATCTTAAAATAGTGAATTTAAACCTAACTCAAACCTACAAAACTGGCTTGTAAGGTGAGAGTTATTTTTCACTTATATACTATTTAATAGTTTAATCTCTAGTCTATGTGGGACTTGGATTTCTTCCAATACACCCTCTCATGTCCAACACTATTGGGTTTGATATATAGATAAATAAATAGCAGGTAGTCCATTTTTAATGATCTAGGATAAAGACCAAATTAAATGCACATTATTTCATGATATGCTTAATGTCTATTACAACATTCATATCTCTTTCCTTATAAATTGAAATTCTTCTATAAAATTTTCTGTTTGTTATGTAAACCTTTAAAAGGTTAGAATAGCATGACCTTCCACATACAAACATTTTTCTAATACACACACGATTCATTCTTTTTGTAAAATAAATTAAATAAAGACAGGAAAAAGAACCACTTAATTTTATTCAGATTTCTTAATCCAAATTAAATGCAAAATAGTACACCATTAAATTCAAAAAAAAAAAAAAAAAACCAAGTCCTTACATATTTCCCACTCCCAATGCATTTTATTGTACATGCATGTTGAATACACATCTCTTAACACAAACTAAAGGATAAATTATTAAATAGATTGAAAAAATTAAAAAAAAAAAAAAAAAACCAAGTCCTTACATATTTCCCACTCCCAATGCATTTTATTGTACATGCATGTTGAATACACATCTCTTAACACAAACTAAAGGATAAATTATTAAATAGATTGAAATTTTATTTTATATATGGTCTATTAATCTTTACATGTAGTCAAATTTTTTTAATCTATAAGCAAAAATTAACAAAATCCGATTACTTGTCACGTAAAGATTAATCAGAACCATATACACATGCATCACAGAACCACTTCCATCAAATTGATTCTCTTTTTGTTATCCTAACTTTCAAACCATCTTTCATGAGAAGGACAATTGAATGGCTTGGAGCAGCAACATGACCTTCCACCACTTGGAAACGATACTTGAGTAAAATAGCAGCAGCTACCATCTTCATTTGAACAAAGGCCAAGTCCTTTCCCAAGCATGTTCTTGGTCCCGCATTAAAAGCAATGAATTTGTAAGATGGTGCATAAACAACCTCTCCTCTATATATCCATCTTTCTGGCTTAAACTCCAAGCAATCTTTTCCCCATATCTCTTCAAACCTCCCCATTGCATACAAAGAAAACAATATCATCGTATTTGGATTCACATGGTGACCACTAGGAAGTGTGTCAGCCTTAATTGCTTGCTTGCGTTCAATAGGTATGGGAGGGAAAAGTCTTAGGGCTTCACACAAAGCACCATGAAGATAAACGAGCTTTTTCACCTCCTCCATGCCTAAAACCCCCTCATTGTCATAAAAATTATCTTTGATCTCTTCAAGAATCTTTGCCTCATGCCCCTACTATCATGGCTGCACCAGAGGGTAGCTCCAAGAGGTCTCGTCAACAACCCCAGCACCTGAAGGATTATGTTGTCACGTGTCCCTCCTCCCGTAGAAAGGGCAATTCTGTTAGAAGGGAATGATTGTAATATTCCTTTTTTATTAATTGCTTATAATTAGTTTGTGAAAAGCATATTTAGTAAAATTTACTTCTCTACGTATATTAGGCCGTGGAATTACTTGGACAGAAGAAACTTTGTAGTGACTTTAATTCACTGTTCACTACAACAAAATAGACTTTTAGTGACATTTAATATGACTTTTAGTAGCAATAAAAATTGTTACAAAATCTTTTATCGGCATTTTCACATTAGTTATTGTATACAGTGTCGCTAAAACATTTAGCGGCAATTATTTAAAATGCTGGTAAAAATCCTTATAATGGTCGGAAAAAGTGTATATCTTTTTGTGACATTTTTTACTTTCTAGTCGATGTGGGACTTGTAAGATAAGTACAAATAAATAATTACTTTATCTCTAGTTGATGTGGGACTTGTAAGATGAGAGTTGTCTTTCTACTTATATATTCTTTTTAATTACCTTATTTCTAGTTGATGTGGGACTTTAAGATGAAGGTTGTCTTCTAATTATATATATATACTAATTTAGAATAATAAGTTATAGGTCTAACACAATCCTATATAACAAACTTGTAAGGTGAGAGTTATTATTTATTTATATACTCTTTAGTTATCTTATTTCTAGTCGATGTGGGACTAAAGTTTTTCTTAAAATAATTGTCGCTAATAATAAATTTTGGTGTGATATAAATATATTTTTAGTGACCATTATATATTAGTCACTAATACTTTTATTAAATAATAAAACAAAGGCAATTAATTTATTGCCGGTAAATAATTATGAGCTATATAGTCCAATTGGTAACCACCACACAAACTAATTATAAGCAATTAATAAAAAAGGAATATTACAATCATTCCCTTCTAACAGAATTGCCCTTTCTACGGGAGGAGGGACACGTGACAACATAATCCTTCAGGTGCTGGGGTTGTTGACGAGACCTCTTGGAGCTACCCTCTGGTGCAGCCATGATAGTAGGGGCATGAGGCAATTCAGTATGGGCCTTTGTTGGGTTATGAGTATCTACCAGTGGAAAGGACCTTGAGTCCCTTACAGATAGTATATTGTTAGTATTTCTCATCATATGTATATTTCGTTTTTCTTCTTCGATATATTTGCTTTTCATAAAGACGTTCTTAAATACTACTATTTTTGCGAGTTGGCCCAAACAGCTATGATCAGAGGGCGATATCAGATATAAAGTCACTTTGTTGAGATAAATGTCAAAAAGCATATTTAGTAAAATTTACTTCTCTACGTATATTAGGCCGTGGAATTACTTGGACAGAAGAAACTTTGTAGTGACTTTAATTCACTGTTCACTACAACAAAATAGACTTTTAGTGACATTTAATATGACTTTTAGTAGTCCCTTCTAACAGAATTGCCCTTTCTACGGGAGGAGGGACATGTGACAACATAATCCTTCAGGTGCTGGGGTTGTTGACGAGACCTCTTGGAGCTACGCTCTGGTGCAGCCATGACAGTAGGGGCATGAGGCAATTCAGTATGGGCCTTTGTTGGGCTATGAGTATCTACCAATGGAAAGGACCTTGAGTCCTTTACATCCCCTCCGGGTTCGAGAAACACCTCGTCCTCGAGGTGGAATTGCTGCTGGAGTTGGTTCCAAGGCTCCCAAGTGGCTTCCTCGAGAGGAAGACCTTGCCAATGGATTAAGACATGCACCTGTGGGGGATTGGAGGACGTGTCCATTTTCCAATTGAGGATGGCACCAGGCTCTAAAATAGGGTGGTTATCCTCAATAACCGGAGGAAGGGAACGAGGGGCAGAAGTAACGGGCCCCTTGTGAGGCTTGAGCAAACTAACATGGAATACATTATGTATTCTGGCAGAGGAAGGGAGCTCAAGCTCATAAGCCACTGTGCCAATTTTCTGTGTGACTTTGAATGGCCCAAAGAAATGCTTCATCAGTTTGGCGGAATGTGTCCCCGAAACAGAGGATTGCCTGCGAGGGCGTAAGCGCACATACACCAAGTCGCCAACCTCAAAATTCAATTCCCTGCGGGATTGGTCAGCAAACTTCTTCATGGAGTCTTGTGCCTTCCGCAAGTTAGACTCGAGTTTGCTCAGAATGTCATTTCTAGTAGAGAGCTCTGACTGAACTGCTGCATTTGTTGAATCCGCGGGGACAATTGGTGGCAAGAGTGGAGGTTTGTGACCATATAACACCTCAAAGGGAGAAAATCCAGTGGAGGCATTGACTGAGGTATTGAAGCTCCATTCAGCCCAAGAGAGAAACTTGCCCCAAAGTGATGGCTTGTGGTGGACAAAACATCTAAGGTACTGCTGCAATGTTTTGTTGGTCACCTATGTTTGTCCGTCTGTTTGCGGATGGTACGCAATTGACATTCGCAATTTGGTGCCGCTGAGCCTGAAAAGGTCTCGCCAAAACTGACTGAGGAAAATGGGGTCACGATCAGAGATAAGGCTACGAGGTAGACCATGGTGTTTGCAAACAATGTCAACGAATAACTGAGCCACACTCATCGTAGAGAATGACTTCGGAAGCATCCCGAAGTGGGCGGCCTTAGAAAACCGGTCAACAACTACCACTATAGTGGTGAAGCCTTTGAAAGGGGGGAGGCCCACGATGAAGTCAAGGGACAGATCCTCCCAGCAACGCGAAGGAGGTGAAATAGGATGCAACAACCCCGGAGTACGCTGCGTTGGTATCTTAGTCTGTTGGCAAATGGCACATTGTTCCACAAACCCTTGGACATCTTTCCTCATGCTGGGCCAATGGAAGTTAGTAGCAAGCTTGCTAAGCGTGCGGGAGACGCCTGTATGACCAGCCATGGGGGTCGAATGGAATTCTTGTAAGAGTAAGGGAATGAAAGTACAGGATGAGGGTAACCATGTCTTCCCCTTATATAAAATTAAGTCATCGCGCAGCGAGAAAAGAGGGAAAGCATCAGGGGAGGCAGTTATTTTGTCACGCAATGCTGTGAAGTCAGAGTTAGAGTGCAGGGAAGACTTTAGATCGATCAAAAAGTCCGGATGAGACACTGATAGCACCAGAAAAGAACCCTAATCAGATACAGGCGCACCATCCACGCGTGATAAGGCATCAGCAGCATTGTTAGACTTCCTCGGTTTATACTGAATCTCAAAATCAAAGCCCAGTAACTTGACTAAGTATTTTTGCTGGTCTGGTGTCAGTACTGTCTGTGTGAGCAGTTCTTTTATTGATCTCTGATGTGTTTGGATAACAAAATGACGCCCCAAGAGGTATTGACGCCATTTTTGCACAGTAGAGGTAATGGCACACAACTCGCGCACGTAAGTGGAAGAGCTGCAAAGCTTGGGACAGAACTGTTTACTAAAGTAAGCAACTGGATGCCCATTCTGAGATAGCACCGCTCCCATACCTGTACCAGAGGCGTCAGTTTGTACAGTAAATAATAAATCAAATTTAGGTATAGCTAAAACAGGAGCAACAAGAAGTGCATTCTTGAGCCTGTCAAAGGCCTGTTGTGCGCTATCAGACCAGTGGAAATTGTCCTTCTTGAGGAGGTCCGTGAGGGGCTGTGCAATTGACGCATATCGGGCAACAAAGCGTCTATAAAACCCTGTGAGACAGAGGAAACCGCGTAGTGATTTGAGGGAGGTGGGGGTTGGCCAAGCACGTACTGATTCTAGCTTCTCCGGATCAGGTTGGACTCCCTCATTCGAAACTACGTGGCCCAAGTATTGGATGGTCTTGACACCAATAGAGCATTTGTTTCCTTTCAAAAGAAAGGAGTTGGAGAGTAGCAGTTTGAAGGCAATTTCCAGATGAAGGACATGATCCTGTAAAGTGGAACTATAAACCAATATGTCATCGAAAAAGACGATTATAAAGCGACGGAGGTGAGGGCGGAACATGTCGTTCATGGTGGCCTGAAATGTGGATGGTGCATTACAGAGGCCGAAGGGCATGACTCTGAATTCGAAGTGGCCATTATGGGTTCGGAATGCAGTCTTCTCCAAATCGGAAGGGGCCATCAAGATTTGGTGGAATCTAGAGTATAGGTCCAATTTAGAGAACCAAGACGCATTGCCCAACTCGTCGAGCAACTCGTCTACGGTAGGAATCGGGAATTTATCCTTAACAGTGACAGAATTAAGGGCCCGATAATCAACGCAAAAACGCCAGGTGCCATCCTTTTTTTTGACGAGCAGTACCAGAGATGAGAAGGGGTTAGTGCTTGGTTTGATGAAGCCCAACTCAATCATTTTCTGAACTTGTGTCTCAATCTCCTGTTTCTGAAAGTGAGGGTAACGGTAGGGTCTCACAGAGATGGGAGCAGTGTTTGGGGTGAGGGTGATGGTATGATCAGTGGTCCGGGGAGGGGGTAGGTGTGTAGGTGTAGAGAAAAGTGAGGAGTACTGGTGGATGAGGGAATGCAAGGGTTGTTGCGGGGAGGAGGGAAGAAGGTTGGTGGAGGAATTTGGTTAATTCGATGGGGTTGTTGGGTGTGGGTGTAGAAATTGGGGAAGGGTGATGTTCTAAAGACAAATGGAATAAAGCTTCAACTCTATTTGTGCTCTGCAAATGACGGAGCTGATGGGCCGATATTGGGGATGGGGTTGGGCCTGGATCACCCTTTAACTCTATCAACTTTTCATGCCACATGAGTCTCATAAAGGGCTCGTTATAATCCATGACAAAAGGGCTGATCATGGAGAGCCAGTGGACACCTAACACAACGTCAGTCCCTGATAGCTCTAGTGGGTAGAGATCCACTGAAAATTGTTGTTGATCCAAGGAGAGAGTGACTTGAGGGCAATATGAAGAGCGGGGTAGGAACTCCCCATTTCCCACCATAACTCTTAATGGGCTTGATGTGGGCCGAGAAGGT